ACTAAAAGGATTATTCACCATGACCAAGTGGGATTTATTCCTGGGCTGCAAGGTTGGTTGAACATCCACAAATCAATCAATGTGATATACTACATAAATAAAAGGACAAGAACCATATGATCCTCTCAATAGATGCAGAAAAAGCTTTTGACAAAGTACAGCATCCTTTCTTGATTAAAACTCTTCACAGTGTAGGGATAGAGGGAACATACCTCAATATCATAAAAGCCATATATGAAAAGCCCACAGTGAGAACCATTCCCAGTGGGGAAAAACTGGGAGCTTTCCCACTAAGATCAGGAACATGGCAGGGATGTCCATTATCACCACTGTTGTTCAACATAGTACTAGAAGTCCTAGCCTCAGCAATCAGACAACAGAAAGAAATAAAAGACATCTAAATCAGCAAAGAAGAAGTCAAACTCTCACTCTTTACAGATGACATGATACTCTATGTGGAAAACCCAAAAGACTCCACCCCAAAACTGCTAGAACTCATACAGGAATTTAGCAATGTGGCAGGATATAAAATCAATGCACAGAAATCAGTTGCATTTCTATACACTAACAATGAGACAGAAGAAAGAAATTAAGGAGCTGATCCCATTTACGATTGCACCAAAAACCATAAGATACCTAGGAATAAACCTAAAGAAAGAGGCAAAGAATCTGTATTCAGAAAATTATAGAACACTCATGAAAGAAACTGAGGAAGATACAAAGAAATGGAAAAATGTTCCATGCTCATGGATTGGAAGAACAAATATTGTTAAAATGTCTATACTACCTAGAGCAATCTATACATTCAATGCAATCCCTATCAAAATACCATCAACTTTTTCATAGAGCTGGACCAAATAATCCTAAAAGCTGTATGGAACCAGAAAAGATCCTGAATAGCTCGAGGTATGTTGAAAAAGAAAACCAAAGCGGATAGCATCACAATTCCAGACTTCAAGCTCTATTACAAAGCTGTAATCAACAAGACAGTACGGTACTGGCACAAAAACAGACACACAGATCAGTGGAACAGAACAGAAAACCGAGAAATGGATCCAACTTACTTTATACATGGCCAAACCATTTTTCAAGAATGGAATATAGTCAAACTTTTTTGAACATGAAAGAATTCAGAAAATGCTGTTCCCAAGCCCTTCTTATGGAAATTACTAGATAGGATGAACTTCAGCCAAACAAGAGATAACTAAAGAAACCATGAGAAACAGACTGGTAATCAACACTGAATATATTTACTGTGAAAAAAGATTAAAACAAATACAGAAATAATGTTAAGAAAATCAAATGCAAATGTTATATGCCCTGACAATAAAAAAATGATACAGCCAACAAATAAAAACTGTAAGGGGGTAAAAGGACAATGAACGTAAGTTTGAGAAGGTTCACGATTGCCTCAAATATACCAGCAGTACATCAAAGAATATCATTTAGAGCTACCAAGTGAAGTAGTATAGGTATGAGCAATCTTAATGGTACAAAGGTAAACACTCAGAAAGATACCATTGACTAAAATCAGGTAGGAGAGGAGACGATTAAGGATGGGTTGGTTAAGAATAGAAAATTTAAGGGCGCCTGGGTGGCTCAGCCGTTAAGCGTCTGCCTTCGGCTCAGGTCATGATCCCAGGATCCTGGGATCGAGCCCTGCATCGGGCTCCCTGCTCGGCGGGAAGCCTGCTTCTCCCTCTCCCACTCCCCCCGCTTGTGTTCCCTCTCTCGCTGTGTCTCTCTCTGTCAAATAAATAAAATCTTTAAAAAAAAAAAAAGAATAGAAAATTTAATACTACTTTAACTAATTTTAATATTAGAGAATGGCCAAAGGAATAGAAGACTACTAGAATTATATCAGCATTAAAATTACAAGGATAAATGGGAGAATAAAAATACAGCGTCCCTAAAAACCTAAGCTACATACAAAGCAACCACATAGTGAAAGACTTAAAAAAAAAAAAAATAATAATAATAATAAATTGTGACAGGGTGCCTGGGTGGTTCAGTCAGTTAAGTGTCTGCCTTCGGCTCAGGTCATGATCCCAGGGTCCTGGGATTGAGCCCTGCATCAGGCTCCCTGATCAGTGGGGAACCTGCTTCTCCCTCTCCCTCTGCCTGCCGCTCCCCCTGCTTGTGCTGTGTGTCAAATAAATAAAATCTTTAAAAATATATAGAAATAAATAAATAAATAAATGTGACAGAACCAAGACCAAGTAAATATATCATATCAATGAATATAAATAAGTTTAACTCAAGTGCCAAAACAAAAGAGATTTTCATATAAGATCACAAAGGAAAAATCAACTCTGCTGAAACCAAGGGGCATAACGTGATTCAAAAGGGTTAAAGAGAAAAGGATACACAAATAATATACTAGGTACATGGAAACCATAAGAAACCATAGGTTGTGAGCCTAAAAGTCATTAAACATTAAGACAAAAAGAACACTTTATAAAAATGCTAAAGGATGTATTTGCAATACAATTATAAGAGATTCATCTATATCACAAACAACAGCAACAATCTTAAAACAAAACTGCAATATATCCAAGAAAATATTAGTAATGAAAGATGTAGATTGAGACATGGTATTGCTCAATCGATGTAACATCAAGCAGACAACAAAATAAATAAAAATACAAATATCTAAATAATGTAATTAATATGCTAGATCTGGTTGATAAATATCAATTCCAAAATAAATTATTTACCTATTTTCAAGTTTCCATGTAACATCAAATAACCTATACACTAAAAAAGGAAAAATTTGTTAGAACGTGGGTTTTTACCATTAAATGTGTGAGTGCCAGTTATGTCTTTAAATAAACTGGCTATAAAACAATGAGAAATATGTCGATCTCAAAGAATTTTCTAAGGATTAAATGAAATAATGTATTTAAAGCTTAGTAGTCTGGAACATGGTCTCAGATAAATTATTCTTATTATTGTAGGATTTTGCTTTATGTTTTAGATATTCTTTATTGAAAGGAAACATTATTTCTGTGGTATAGTCATCTTCTTATCTAGAGTAACAGCAAAAATTCATTTATAAAGAATCTAAAAATCACATTTTTCCAAAATGGAAGTCATTGTCGTAATACTAAAATTTCAACTGATATATAAAATGCATAAACTAGAATGCAAAGAGTTTACACAGTCTTAAACTTCCTTGCCCTATTCCATCACATCTCTTTGAGATACAAACACACATAAGTTATTCACATTATATTTAACTTAGTTAAAAAATATGTCTTAAGAGATCTCTCCATATCATTACCTATTATAGATTCCATTCTTTTAAAAGGTTGTATTCTATTATATGAATGTTGTATGAAATTTTGGCTGTTTCTAATATGAGTAATCCCAAACAATGCTACAATACATTTTGGAAGTAAAGCTACATTTTGGAAAATGGCTGCCAGTTTCTCTAGTACAGAAGTATATATAATAAGCTATAAATTATACACAAAATAGAAAGGAAATAAGAGTATTTCTGTTTACCTGTATATGCAGAAAGAAAATTGGGGAAAATACAAAGACCAACTAATAAAAATAATTTTCTTTGAGAGTCATTCTGGGAACCAGGTAAATAAGAGACACAATTATGATTTTTTTACTTGTACGCCTTTGTAAACTTTTTTTTTGAATAATATCACTGTATTACCTACTCAAATAATTAAAGTTAATTAAAGAATTTAGCCCTTTTTTCCAAATTCAAAACATAAAAAAAAAATTCAGGTTTCTCATCAAAATGTTACACAGATTAAAAAAGTGAAAGCACTTGTACAGGTTAATTCTCACGTAAGAAGAAAGCACAAAGAGCAATTATCAGGGACTACAGTCTGAGAGCTGAAAGTAGTGACAGACCAAATACAGCTTTGTATATGAATAAAGAGATTGTATTTGAAATTCTAAAAAAAGTTCCCTTATTTTACTTTTTCTGTCAAATGTTGTATTTTTTAAAAGATTTATTTCATTTTAGAGAGAGAGAGACAGACAGAAAGTGAGTGTGTGTGTGAAGGCAGGGGAGCAGAGGAAGAGGGAGAGCAAGTCCCAAGCAGACTCCATGCTATTCTGAACCACAAAGGCACCCCTCCTTCCTTTCTTTCTTCATATAATCTACATGGACTTTTTTCTTCCTCTTTCCCTCTTCTGCCATTTACACTGGGCATGCAAAGAGAATACAGGCTATCCTCAGACACAGTAGGATACTGTAATATGTACTAAAATATTTCAAGTGAAATGTTATCTACACTTCATATTTCATTTTTACTTTGAAAATTTCTCTTTTTTCCTTTTTTTAGAGGGAAGGGGGCAGAGGAAGAGGGAGAGAGACCCTTAAGCAGGCTCCTCGCCCAGCATGAGCCCGAAATCAAGAGTCAGATGCTTAACCAACTGAGCCACCCAGGTACCCCCGAAAATTTCTTAAAATTTAACTTCAAGAGCTTCCTATTCCAACAAAAAATCTGAATTAATTAATGACAATTACACAACTATATTCTGAATGGAGTTAAAATAATTATTTCATATGAAATGCTCCATCATCCATCATTTGGGGCTTAAGTCTGAGTGTTGAAAACTAAATGTAAAATTCAGATTTTCATTGTGTAATGTGACATGCACATATTACCATGGACACAAAAATAAGAGAACTGAAGAAACTATATACCTTTTTTTAAAAAAAAGTTTGAAGTATACCAAACTATAAAATATTCTGATTTTCTGATTAATACTTTATTTTCATTTAAAATTAGAATATAAAAAGCATATATTATAATGCATATAAATTTAATCTTAAAATTTGATGATTCAGAGGAAATTTTAAAATCTTATATGTAAATAATCATTATGAATATAAATCTTTGCCTAGATTATATGGAAACACCACTAGGAGAAGATTTTTTACCTATCTCCACAAAACATTTACTATAAATCAATCAGTATTTTTAGGTATTTGCAAACCTTTTTAAAATTAAATTTTGAAAAAGTTTTACCTTCATGTGATTTTTCAAAGGATCCAAAAGATTAAAATGAATATTGCACTTTGGACAAGCTCTTGGAAAAGGTGTTCCATTTTTAGATTGATGTGATGAGGTATTAGTACCTAAAATAAATTCAAAACATATATAATACAAAATTCATCACTCTATAACCTTAAATAACCACTAATAACAGTTTGTAAATTTACTACAACTTCTAAAACTTATGTATAAATACTGTAATTTATTTTTTTTTAAGCGGGGGAGGGCCAAAGGGAGAAAGAGAATCTTAAGCAGGTTCCTTGCCCAGCACGAAGTCCAGTGTGGCTCAATCTCACAACCCTGAGATCATGACCTGAGCCGAAATTAAAAGTCAGATGCTTAACCGACTGAGACACCCAGGAGCCCCTATAATTTCTTTTTTATATGCCACATTTCACATTTACCTTTTGATGATGTAGCCTGGGGAGATGTCACTGAAAGAGATTTAACTGAAGGAAATACAGCTGAAGAATTTAATCCAGAAATACCATCACTGGGCTTTGGCTTTTTTGGATTAACGCTGTTTACTTCAGAAGTAGAAGGACGTTTTGATAAAAAGGAACTTTCATTCATACCTACAATGAATTAAATAGTTGGAAATATATTTTTAAACACTTTAGCATATTACTTATAACAAGGTAAAATTACTTTGGAGCTAAACTAAATGTAATACAACTGAATTAGCCTATCATTCAAATGACAATAAATAATGGTAAAAATTGATGTGATCAAAAGTCAGGGGGTGTACCAAATATCAATCTTGAAAAAGAAGAATAAAACTGGAGTATTGCAATCTCAGATTTCAAGATATACTACAAAGCTGTAGTAATCAAAAGAATATGGTATGGACAAAAGCAGACACACAGATCAATGCAATACAACAGAGAGCTCAGAAATACACCCACAATTAAATGGTCAATTAATCTACAACAAAGGAGGCAAGAATATAAAATAGGAAGAAGTCTCTTCAACAATGATGTTGGGAAAACTGGACAGCTACATGCAAAAGAATGAAATTGGACCATTTTCTTACACCATCCACAAAAATAAAGTCAAATGGATTAAAGACCTAAATGTGAGTCTGAAACCATAAAATTTCTAGAAGAAAACATAGGCAGTAATCTCTTTAAAATTAACCATAGAAACATTTTTCGAGATATGTCTCCTTTGGCAAGGGAAACAAAAGCAAAATGAAACTATTGGGACTACACCAAAATTAAAGACTTTTACTTAGCAAAGGAAACCATCAACAAAACAAAAAGGCAATCTACAGAATGGGAAAAGATATTTCCAAATGATATATCCAAAAGGGAGTTAATATCCAAAATATAAAAGTAACTTATACAACTCAACACGAAAAAATACCCAAATAATGCAATTAAAAATGGGCAGAAGACATGAACAGACATTTCTTCAAAGATATAGAGATGGCCAAAAAACATGTGAAAAGATGCTCAACATCACTCATCATCAGTGAAATGCGAATCGAAAGCACAGTAAGGTATCGCTCCACACCTGTCAGAATGGCTAAAATCAGAAAGACAAGAAATAAAAAATGTTGATGAGGATGTGGAAAAAAAGGAACCCTTATGCATTGTTGGCAGGAATGCAAGCCAATGCAGCCACTGTGGAAAACAGTACAGAGGTTCCTCAAAAAATTAAAAATAGAATTACTATATGATCCAGTAATTCCACTACTGGGTATTTACTCAAATAATACAAAAACACTAAAAGATATGTTTATTGCAGCATTATTTACAATAGCCAAGATATAGAAGTAACCAAGTGTTCACCAATAGATGAATAAAGATTTTGTACATAAATAAATGGAATAAAAAAAATGAAATCTTGCCATTTGCAATAACATGGATGGATCTAGAGGATATAATGAATCTAATGCTAAAGTGAAATTAGTCAGAGAAGACAAATACCATATGATTTCATTCCCATGTGGAATTCAAGAAACAAACCAAATGAACAAGGAAAAAAAGGACAGAAAGAAAAAAACCCAAAACACTTAAATACAGAGAACAAACTGCTGGTTGCCAGAGGGAAGGTGGGTAGGGGGATGGGTGAAACAGGTGACGGGGATTAAAAATAAATTTATTGTGGTAAGCACCAAGTAATGTATAGAATTGTTGAATCATTATACTGTACACCTGAAACCAATATAACACTATTTAATTATACCTGAATTTTTTTAAATTTCTTTTTTTTTTAGAGAAGGAAAGGGGCAGAGGGAGAAGGAGAGAGAGAATCTTTTTTTTTTTATTTATTTATTTATTTATTTATTTATTTATTTGAGAGAGAGAGAATGAGAGAGAGCACATGAGAGTGGGGAGGGTCAGAGGGAGAAGCAGACTCCCCGCCGAGCAGGGAGCCCGATGTGGGACTCGATCCTGGGACTCCAGGATCATGACCTGAGCCGAAGGCAGTTGCTTAACCAACTGAACCACCCAGGAGCCCCAGGAGAGAGAGAATCTTAAGCAGGCTTCACACCCAGAATGGAGCCTGATGCAGGGCTTAACCTGAGCTGAGATCATGACCTGAGCCGAAATCAAGAGTTGGACACTTAACCAACTGAGCCACCTAGGTGCCCCTATACTTTTTTAATTAATTTAATTTGGGGGGGAGAGAGCTAACATGGTGGCATAGTAGGAGGACCCTAGGCTCCTCTTGTCCCTTGAACACAACTAGATAACTATCAAATCATTTTGACTACCCAAGAAATCAACCTCAGGACTGACAGAACAAACTCCACAACTAGAGGAAGAAGAGAGAGAAGAGGCCCCATCTATGAAGGTAGGAAGCTGGAGACATGGTTTGGGAGAGAAACGGATCATGGGATCACAGGTGCTGCAGAGGGGAGGGAGCCCTGGTGGCTGAGAGAGGCACAAGGAGAGCTCCCCAAAGCTATTGGCTGGGAAAACACGAAGGCTGATTTCCATGCATTTTGGCAAACAGCAGGACTTAAAGATTGGAATTTCAAAGGTCGGTGGGCTTGGCTGGGATAGATCCCTGAGGGCATTGCCCTACTCCTGGAGAGAAAGCTGGCAAACAACCCCAGGGGCAGATGGCACCATCTGAGGAATGCCTAAGGCACAGCAGGGAGATTGTTTACACTTCTTGGAGCACATCTGTGAGAGGCCATGTTGGCCATGTTGGCAGAAACACCTCTCCAGGGACAAAAGAGCCAGTGGGCGCCATTTCTCTCCCCTGCCCCTCAGCAGAGGCACAGAGCCACCTGCTAAAGGAAGCTCAGCTGGATACTGGCTGCCTAGCCTGCTTGCTCCAAGTCCCACAACCCTTTCCTCTGGCTCAACTGTCCTTCTCCATCAAACCTGCATTAGTCCCAGTGCAGCAAGACCTTCCATGAGCAGACCAATGCAGGCCCCTACCCACACCACATCTCTAAAGTTTGGAGTTTTAAAAGTCAGCAGGGTTGGCTGGGATAGAGCCCAAAGTGTACTGTGACGCTCCTGGCAAGCAAGCAACCCAGAGACAGACAGCATGAAAGCATGAAAGCAGCAGTCTGAAAAATGCCTGGGATAGACGAAGGAAAATTATTCATTTGCTCTTCTGGGAGTCCTTCCCTAAGAGCAGCAAGCACGAAGCCCCCTCTCTGGGGACAAAGGAGTAGGCTGGTGCCATTTCTCTCCCCACCCCCCAGCAGAAACTCCTGCACACACATCTCCCAACCAGAAAGGTCTGCAAGGATTCAGTTCTAGTAGAAGTAGCATCAAATCTCATTTAATAAGCAGGCCAGAGTGCACCTAGTTAAAACTCACCACACTCTGGCCAAGGCCCAAACACTGCCTCCTACAGGCAAGGAGAGCCTCTGCATACAACTGGACTGAATGATAGAGCAGCCAACACACAGCACCAGAGCACATGCAGCGCACACCAGAGACACTCCCTGAAGCACCAGGCTCTGGACATTATATGGCCTCTTCTTCACAAAGCCATTAGCCTCAGGAGCAGGAAACTGACAGGCTTTTCTAACTCACAGAAGACAGACTTAGACAAAATGCCATGATGGAAGAATTCATCCCAAATCAAACAACAAGAAAAAGTCCCAGTCAGAGATCTAATCAAAACAGATACAAGTAATATGCCTGATTGAGAATTTAAAGCAACAATCGTAGAATACTCACTGGGCTTAAGAAAAAAATTAGAAGACCTTCAGCGAGGCCCTTACCACAGAGATAAAACAGTTAAAAAACGATCAGTCAGAAATGAAAAATGCAATAACTGAGATCTGAAACAGACTGGATGCAGAGAACACAAGGATGGAAGAAGCAGAGGAATGAATAAGTGATACAGAAGATAGAACTATAGAAAATAATGAAGTTGAACAAAAGAAAAGAATTATGCATAATGAGAATAGACACAGAGAACTCAGTGACCCCATTAAATGTAATAACATTCATATTATAGGAATCCCACAAGGAGGAGAGAGAAAAGGGGGCAGAAAACTTATTTAAGGAACTAACAGCTGAAAACTTCCCTAATCCAGGGAAGGAAACAGACATTCACATCCAGGAAGCATGGAGAACTATCAAAATCAACAAAAGCAGGCCAACACCAAGACATATTGTAATTGAATTTGCAAAATATAGTCATAAAAAACATCCTAAAAGCAGCAAGGCAAAAAAGTCCCTAACTTACAAGGGAAGACCCATAAAGCTAGCTGCAGATCTCACCACAGAAATCTGGCAAGCCAGAAGAGAGTGGCATGACATATTCAAAGTGCTGAATAGGGAAAATAGCCAAAAATATTCTATCCAGCAAAGCTATCATCCAGAAAAGGAGAGATAAAGAGTTTCCCTGACAAACAAAAACTAAAGGATTTCATGACCACTAAACCAGCCCTGCAAGAAATATTAAAAGGGACTCTTGAGTGGAAAGACCAAGTGACAAAGAGAAGAAAGGAACAGAGAAAATCTCCACAAACAACACAAAACAAGTAATAAAATGGCCCTAAAGACATATCTATCAATAATTACTCTGAATGTACATGGACTAAATGCTCCAATCAAAAGACAATGGGTGTCAGAATGGATTAAAAAAAAAAAAAAGACCGTACTATATGTTGCCTACAAGAGACTCTTTTTAGACCCAGAGATACCTGAAGATTGAAAGTGAGGGGATGGAAAAATATTTATCGTGCAAATGGACATCAAAAGGAAGCCAGAGTAGCAATACTTTTATCAGACAAACTAGATTTCAAACCAAAGACTGTAACAATAGATGAAAAAGGTCACAATATCATAATAAAGGGGTCTATACAACAAGAAGATCTAACAATTATAAATATTTATGCCCCCAACATGGGAGCACCCAAATATATAAAGCAATTAATAACAAAATTAAAGAAACTCGTGGACAATAATATAATAATAATACGGAACTTTAACACCCCACTCACTACAATGATCATCTCACCAGAAAACCAACAAGGAAACAGTGGCTCTGAATGACACCCTGGAACAGATAGGACTTAACATATATTCAGAACATTCCACCCTCAAGCAGCAGAATACACATTCTTTTCAAATGTGCTAGGGACATTCTC